GTGGTTCATCGCGGTAGACAGGACATATTAAAGTTCAATACAGAATGCTCCAAGACGTGGCCGCTGAGCCAACTAATGCAATGCCACCGACGCACGAACCGACGGCTACTTTACACGCCCAGCTCATAAATCCTAAGGATAGTGTTGGCTATCTCGATAAGAAAGAAGTCGTCTACAATATTCCCTGCTAAGTTTGTGATACCGCATACTGTGGCCAAACAGGAAGGTCTGTCCACACACGCACCCACGAGTACTAACTGATCGTGAGGAGATGTGACCATATATCCGAATTGGCTACGCGTAGCTGTGATATAGGATATCCCTTCGCATAGGACAAAACACGCATTGTCGCAGATTTCCCCACGAAGAGGCGGATAATTTCTTGAGGCCATGCACTCCGGCAATTCATGCATGAACCGATATATAGAGTTGGATTGAATGTAGACACATCTCAAGGAAAGATAAAAGAAACCACAGACCATCAATACGGACTAACGTAAACCGCAACTGCTAATCAGCGCTCACATCGGATGGCTATTAATCTTTTTCACTCCGGACTGGCGTAAATTACGGTTACCAATTAGCAATCGCGCTATTAATTTGTCCAACATGGACTGACGCTAATTGGAGCTGCTAATTAGCGCTCACACCAGATGACTATATAAATGTATCAGCAGTTTTTAAATCTTAATTGTTCGTTGTCCATCTCCTCAAGTCTGACGTAGACCTGGGGATCCAGCGTCGAAAATTTACGGAACAAAGTCGTCTCATTTTCCCAAGTCTGATTCGATGAACAAAGTTGGTTGCAAAGATGTTTTCTATTCTACCGAAGAGATATTGTTCAGTGATCATAAGATCTGAAGCCACTAAATCAAATATGAGCTCCTCGTTGTTAGGCAAGTTCTTGTAGCACCCGAGCATGGGCAAAGAAGAGCAATCAAAAGAACACAAATCATTTCTAAAAGAGGGTTTGAATGAGCAGCGCGTCGAGTTTGGCTGCCGAGAAACGGTAGCTCACGGGGCCAACATACCATCAAAGTCCAGGAGTAACAAGTCTTCAGACGGCTGCGGTTTTTTAGCATTCATCGGGGTCTTCTTCGAGGCGCCAGTCTTTCTATTCTAAAAGTGAAAAACACCAGAAGCGATCAAATTATGGCATTCAGATAATGCGAGAAAAACAACGCTTTCGAGAGCCATCAAAAAAGGCCAGTGGTCAAATTGCACGCTACGGCAGTGATTTGGCCCGCGTATAAGACGCCTTCTAATAAAAATAATCCAAAAGGGAAGGATGTATGGGAAAGAAATTACAAGGTTTTATCTAAAAATATAAGTGGTCTCAATGGCTCCTCTTGGCAACCGGAAGTAAAAGTTAGAAGAAGAAGAAGAAGAAGAAGAAGAAGAAGAAGAAGAAAAAGAAGAGGAGG